ACACACACACACACACACACACACACACACACACACAACTAAAGTTTATTGTGTAAATATGGGGTATAAATGCAGGTTTTCAAACAGTAGGCATAAGAAGAATGTGCTTTGGATAGCAGACTGTCCTTTATATGTACTCTGGGGTTTTTAAATAAAGAATTTATAAATTTAGCCCTAGCTGCCTTTAGTTGTAATGTTTTTCTAGTGTCCAACTTGGTTTTGCTTTATATTCTCTGAAATAGATACTATATATATTTTTAATAAAAACCCACAAATACAAAAAGATAGGGTGGGGGAAATTCTAAGATTGAGAGTATACATTGCTTAGAATGCTGTGATACATTCAGCAAGGAAAGGCTAGATAGGTGAAACGTAGATAATTCTAGAATTGTATTACAGTTTGGTAATTCATTACTTTTATTTTTTGTTAATACTATAGTACTACTTTATTTCGTCATAAAAAGCAGGAGTACCACTCATAGGATGAAATCTCTCATCTTTACAAATGGCATTAATGTGGTATCATGGCTCAGTGGCAGATCTGCGTGTGTACACTTGAAGATTATGTTGTGTGTTTGCTTTAAAATCGGAGTGATCACATGTAATTCAAACCCGCGCTGAGTATACTTCTCGCAGAGCTGAGCAATCTCTCACTTCTACCAGCACCACCCAAGCCATCCTAGTTTTTGGTGTCTGTGTGCCACCTGTGCTGTTGCATGTTTATTTTGTAATCTGCATGTACACCCATCAGGTACTGAGGTCACCAAAGACTCCAGCTAGGTGATTTTATGTTCTACTCTGGCAGATCCTATCTGTACACTCTTTAAAAAATGCAGTGAGTTTGTTTTGAAAGTGAGAGAGGGGTGCATATGGCTCAAACCAGAGCTGTGTGCACATCTGCTATTGCTGGGCAATGCCTGAAACCCTTGCGTGGCTGCATGATATCTAACCAAGTTTAGTGTCTGTGATTTCCTGTTGTGTTGTATCTTCTGGAATGTGGACATATATCCATTAAGGAGTGCTGAGATCACCAACCGTATTAGATATATGACCTGACAGGTTCGACCAGTACTATGAAAGATGGGCTAGTTTGCCCAAAATCTTTACTTTTTTCAGAAAGTGTCACCAGCACATTTGGATTATTTTTAAAATTAAAATGTTGGCTGAAACTAGCTCAACAAGTTTAACCTAGTTAGACAAAACAGAACATATAAAGCCTAATAAAGTGCAGTACTTATTTCTTTTTAATAAATGCGACACTGGCCCATTAGAATGGATCTTCCTTCCACAAAGAGAAGACACAGAGCTCAAATACTCATAGCTGTGATGTAAAGGTGGGATGAAAAATATGAGTAGAACACTTTTTTCAGATTTGTTCACTATTTGTACACTTCCTGGATGTTGCTGATTTGTGACCCTATCAGCTCCATCTAAGGAGCGGCATTGATTTGCTTCAGGCTGAAGCCACGTCCAATCATGAAGTATGATGAAATGTCTAGTGACATTCCTAAATAGTGTACGATGTGATAATTTGTGAATTACCCTTTTCAGACTTGATTACACTGTGTACAATAGCACAAAACTATTATTTTGATTTTGTTGTACTGCATCAGTTGGGGTCGTTTTTTATGCTAGACCAAACAGGTTTCTTGTGGTGGAATCCAACAACTGTAATACACCAACACTGAGTGGTGGTGTGAAAACCAAAGCAACCCTCTTTCTAAATGCAACATCCAAATTTACGTGCAAATGATTTCTTGCCTTTGTTTTAGTGTAAAATCTGATGACTCCTTGTATCAGGCCATGAAAACCCTTAAGATGCCTGCAGATATGCATGTATGTAAAGTTAGGACTATTAATATTATGCAACTGATGTGCTTAAGTGTTTGCCGGATTGGGCCCATAAATTGACCTGCTTGGACAATATAAGAATTTTACTCAGTATTTCTTTCCGTCACTCTGTCCTGCTTTTCCTGGGAACTAGCTTGCCCCAATGTGGGCATGTGCCAGCCCAGTGAGTACCAATGCAATGTAATGTTTTACTGTTGGTGATTGAAGTATTGGTTCAAATATGATGTTTTTAATTTTCCTTAAGATATTTTTAAAAGATGCAGGCTTTTAAATAATTTAAGGCAGTTCAAGCTAGCTGCCATTTGCTAAGCATCACAGAGGTTTACATTTTGTGACATCTTTCCATTTGGAACAGAGTTTTACCTATGGGAAAACTTTGTTTTACTACAGTATGTGGAAATATCCCAGTTGTATCTTTTTTGAATGGTTGTGTCTACACTTTGTTATAAATGGCACAGTATTTAGCATACAGTATGTTCAAAAGTACGTTAAGTTTGTATCAAGTCAAATGTATAAAATCCATTTTAAATTAAAATTCTAGAATTTCATCAGACCCTGTTTTAAATGGTATGGGGAATGTGTTTTCTAACAAAGGTGCCAGTGCAAGGATATTACTCTTCTTATTAATACTGCAGTAGCGCAGGGAAAGAGAACACATATCAATATACAGTTTTTCCATTTCTTATATTAAAGCCTTTCTTCATATAGCCTTTAATCTAACCATTATTAATTGGCTGACTTCTTTGTGTTCTGGGAGAGGTGAGTCTGGAGAAGGATGTGGAGCAGGAAGAGAGTAGTTGCTTCCCAGATCAATTGGGGGTGAGGGGGGTTTGAGGAAGCTGGGATCAGCTGGGCAGCTGTAAAGGTTACAAAGAGAACAAATGAGAAACATGCTGTTGATTACTGGACCCATTGGATAACTGACTACTGCTGAGAGAGAAACTTTAATAACCCTGATCCATGTTACATGACTAGAGCTATGAAATAAGTCCGTGCCATAGGCCTGTCTACGCTGACAGTTGTACTGATGTAACTATGTTGGGTGGGGGTTGATTTTTTAAAATTTATTTTAACTGATACAGATATACAGACGAAGTGGGTATTCACCCAGAAAAGCATATGTCTGTTAGTCTATAAGGTGCCACAGGACTCTGTTGCTTTTTACAGATCCAGACTAACACGGCTTCCCCTCTGATACTTGGTACAAACTGTGGATGCAGTTACACCAGTATAGCTTATTCCCTGTCCTATACAGGAATAGCTACATGGGGTTAGCACAGCTTTATAGTCACCTAACTGCATCCACACTAGAGGTGTGTACTGCTTTAATTGTACCAATATAGCTAGAGCAGTACAACTTTCCAGTGCAGCCGGCCTTACAAGCACTCCTGTGTGTCGCATGCTTATTAGTTGGTGTCAGTAACTTGAATCTTCAGCAAAAATGGAGCAAATGAAGTCACTTGTGGATGTAGCTTTAGTATTTCTAAATCTTCTGGAAAGTAAGTGGTAATGCATAGAAATCAGAGAGGGAAGACCACACTCCTGTGTGGAGCAGGAGCAGAGCCATTGGCAAGCTACAGTATGTTCCAAGGGGACAATGCAGGACATTACAAACATCCAGACAAACTTGTTTCAAAAATCTCAATAAAGGCTGACCTATCCAATAATGCCCCTCGGGAGGTACGTTTTCTTTATAAGAAACTAACTGATCATTTTGCTAGAGAAGCAAAACAAAATCATGTGAGGTTTGCATAGTTAGTAAGCAGGGCTAATTAAAGACAAGCTTATTTGGAGAACAACTGATAAGATTACAGTAAGGTCGCTGTAAGAGATTAACCTGACTCCAGAGAACAGCAAGTATTGACTAGGCTAATGAAAACTATTTCCTTTAGGAAAGTATTAAGTAGTGAAAATACAGAAGTGCATCTAATTCAAAATGCATACTAAGGGATGGTACTGAGGGGTGACAGGTTTTAGTACTTCTCTGGGTATAGGCTGGATGGGGGTCTGGGGGGGGCTCGGTGCAAGGGGGATCCCGGGGCGTCAGTGGAGGGGGTCCCGGGTGGGGGGTGATGCCGGGGGGGGTGCTGGGGTGGGGGGCGTTGGTGC